TCATCGGGGCACCCATGCCTGTCTGAGGGTTGACAAACTGAGGTGCTCCCGGAAAATGCCTAAGATGAGCTGGTTGCGGACCTCCTTGGTTCACGTAGAACTGTGGGACAGGCTGTCCAAACGCAAGCTGAGCATGCGGAGCCATAGGAGACGGGTACCCGTGCTGCAATCTCGGTGAAGGGAAGATCTGAGATGTCGATGCCGACATCTGCATACGGTGGTGATCCTCAAAATGGCCCGGACCAGAACCATGATGCTGTTGAGGGTGCAGGTTGTGAGGGCCATGAGGAGGGCCAGAGGCAGGAGGCATTCCCGGGGTCGATTGTTGAAATTGGAAAGGCAGCTGGGGCTGGTGAGGAACTTGAGGGGTGGAAGAAGAGCGGCTTTGAGGAGAAATGGATGGCAGAGCAACAGGCGGCTTGAACATCTGGACATAAGTCTTGTCTTCGTTGGCCGAAGCTACATCCCAGGTAGGAAGGGTCTTGTAAGCCGGAGGAATGCCTCCGTTGAAATTATAGGCCTTATCGGGTTGCTCCGCGCTCTCCTTCTTCATGCGCTTAATAGGGTTGAACTGGTCATTGATTGACGGTCGGTCAGAGATCGGCCGTGGCTTCTTCGCGCCAAAGAAGACAGAAGGGCTTGTAACGCGGGAGACAGAGCGACCCCTAACAAATGGCGATGTGCTGGACGAGGCGCCGGGGGTAAAGGTACTCGCAGCCGGGTTTGGCTTGAATTCCATAGCTTTCACGTTAAACTTGCTTGAAACAGCAGAGGTAGGCGTCTGCGTCTTATTCGGGCTGGATACGCCGGGATGATCCGCCGCAGGGCCACTAGGAGGAATGCGAACCTCCTGAATCGGCAAAGGCGTGGGCACAAGCGCCATTGCCGCTCCCTTCCGCTGTTGCAGGTTATCAGCCAGTCGGTGACTGAGCATACCAGTGCCCGGACGACTTGGGTGCATTCCTTGGTGTGGGAGCCGCCCAGCGGGTCCAGCCTGCGGGCCGGTGGGAGGGTACATCTGGCGACCGCGAGGATAATTGGGGCGATCGAGCTGCGTGGTGGGCTGCACTGTTCCACTGACACGAGCTGTGGGCTTCTGCTCAGTGACCACTGAGGCAGTCTTTGAGGCCAACTTTTCCTCAGCCTGTTGTTGAGCTCTCTGAATAATTTCCTCCTGCTTCTGTGGGTCCTTCGCAAGAATAGGTACCAGGTCCTTGGGTACAGGTGTAGCAAGCTTGAAGTTCTTCGAGAATTTCATCAACTCGTTCAGCTTCACCGTCCGGTCATACGATGCCTGGTTACGGCGCCGCTCTTGCAATTTAAGTTTCTCGCTGTTGGCAAACTGACGGAAATGGTCTAGAACCTCGGCTTCCACATTTGCAGAGGCATTCTCAGCCGCGGGCCGTTTTGGAGCTGACGGGACAGATGAGGTAGCTTTGATTGGAACCGACTTTTGTTCTGACTCAGCGACCGTCGTGGTCGCCGTTGCATTCGATTTTGTTTGAGTTTTGACTGTTTCCTTGGACTGGACGGGAGCCGGAGCTGCATCTTTCGGAGTTGCAACTGTCTGTTTAACGGTAGAAGTGGCCTCGGGGGTTGCAGCAGGTTGAGCAGCGGGCTGCGCAGCGGCTTGTCGGCGTGCCGGTGGAGTGTATTTGTTCGGCTGTCCTGAAACAAGCGGCGGAAAGCTCTTCTCATCCCGGCGGACGCCGCTATATTTGTCTTCCTCGTCCAACCCACTGTCGTCGACCGGAGCCAAGCCTCTTTCCTCCCTGACATGAATGTTGTCAACATTGGTACCTTCAATCTCCCGAGCGATACGAGCAGCCTCTGCCTCTCTTTGTTTGTATGAAGGATCGGAACGGTCTATGCGAGTGGTGTAAATATTCTCGTCATAGCTGCTAGTGGCGCCAAACAGCCTTTCGTTGGTCTCGAATTGATCCCATCCGGTCGTATCGTGTGTACTTTCAAGGGACATGTCAACCTCGGTGTCAGCTGCAGGCTCCCATCGTTTCAGAGCTCGTTCACGCATCGCGAAGTTTCCTGAAATATCGATATCCGTCTTGAAGCCACCTGAAGCACCTGAGGCCAATCAGCAAGGAACGTTTTTATTGTGACATGTATTAGGGGAGAAGTAGAAATGGTGGCATACCATTGGGCGCCTTGGCTGTGACCTCCGCAGTCGAAACATTGGACACGGCAATATCGACCACATCCTTGACATCAAAAGACATGCTGTGATCTGGCGCCGTGCCCAGAAAAGGGCTGACGACATCGCTTACACCATTGGCTCGTTGATGGTCTTGTTTTGCCGGCCGTTGGACCATCTTGAGAAGAATGGAAGAGTCGTGAGGTTCGAGGGAGGAGGAAGAGAAAATCCCAGTGAATCTCTCTCCGCTTCTTGTAGTGATAGTAGCATCAAGTCCCTAGATATAATGAGCGTTCCATCCCTAAGGTCCGGTTCTGATTATGATCATGGGGCGACAAGCTTACAATGAAGCTAGTGAGCAGAAAGATAAGGCGGTCATGAGCATGCTGATCGGGTGTGTTCGATTCTCTCGAAGTGGGTTTGGGAGATATGGAAGGTTTGGGAGTCATGTTTCCGTTGTGTGGCGAATACGAGGATCTCTGGGTGATTGGATTTGTGCCCTGAGTCCAAGCCTTTTGAGAATTGCTGCGTCTATAGGAGAGTGTTAGCAAACCACGGCTATCCTTCGAAACGCGGTCGAACTTAAAGTTGCATTCGAGCACCATTGCGCTCGAAAAGATTTGAGAAGGAGAATGGGGAGGTGACAGAGGGTATGACTTGACGGCAGTAAAGTACACAAACAAATACAGAGAGGGCTCTGAAAAACAATACTGCGAGGAGACCAGCGGTGAAACGAAACAACATGAGAGCAAATGATTGTTATTGAACAGATTAGGAGCGACTCAGACAACGTACCTAGCACCGCCATCAAAAGGGCTTCCGGATTGCCGCCGACCACCATCCGATATCTTAGAGCTAGTAGTCCTTAAAGACGGTCTGCCAGTAGGATTCTGCGAAGACGCATTGACAGCATTACCAGAAGCACTGCTGGCAGCTGACACAGAGTTGACGGTGGAAGCCATCGTCAATCAAAACAGAGCCCGCGCCGTGAAAATCAGTACGACGCAAGGCTAGAGAAAGTAGAAGTCTTGAACAGGCACGAAACCACAGCACAGCGGCTGCACTGACAAGGCGACGAAGGACGGCTAGCGAATTAGGACGCTGGTGACGCGGGGAAGGAAACAGCAAAGGGAGAAAAAAGAAGGGTCGAAGCAGCTATCGAAGGAGAATGGAAGCACGGCGCTTCGACCAGTGATAGGGAAAAATCGAAAAGTGTAAAAGAGGGAGGAGGAAAAAAATTATTCAAGGTGTAGGAAGAAGAGGGGAAGGAGGGTGAAGGTGAAGGAGAGGATGCTGGTGTGTTTAGAGTCTAGATGAAGGAGGTGTGGTAATGAGGTCCAGTAAGGTTGTGGTAGTACGGAGTACGGAGCACTAAGGTAAGGTAAGGTAAGTAGGTGCGAAGGGTGCAGACTGTCAAACGGGGTACGAAATGCTAGTGGGAACATGGAGTTTCAGGCACCAAGGCTCCAAAATTCTGCACAGGTGAGACTTTACTGCGCTGCGCACACACTATTCTACCTAGGTAGCTTCTCGTACTCCGTACTCTCTCCCGAATCACCTTAGACCCAGAGAGCTCTGAAGACCAAGCTCCTTCCACTCCGCTAGGAATGAAAATGATGACGGTGGATAGTTTCATCACCGTTCCAGATACGTAAGGCATGATGATGTCGATGACAGCCGCAAATTTCGAGGGATCGAGGGATCTGGAATGGAAAAATAAGCATAAAGTATCCTTGGTTGATCGCTAGCAGATAGGTATCTCATAAGATATAGATCACTTGCTCCAAAGTCTCTAAACCTAAGGGTCTCTCTTTGGTCTCCACGCTCAGTGGGCAAGTAGTGAGAATGAGAATAGTGTGATTCTGAGAGGGCTGTGGATGCCTGAATGGTGTCTACTATAACTTCCCATACAATAACCGGGAGTCGGATAAGTTGTTTTGCTACACTGTGCTTGATGTTTTCAAATTATACAAAGATAGATTTCATGGCTATACTAACCTTGAAACCATACAGAGTACCTTATTTCACTGTTTTGCGATCGACATAGAATAGTTAACTGAAGGGCTGACAATTCACAAGTCATTTGTGCCTGCCTCGCTAAGTACTGCTTTTGCACTGTTAAAAGTACCTTAGTCTACGGAGTAGTTGGCAATCCTACCATAAGCTCATCTAGGTACTCGCATTTGGTAATTCAGTCTCCATGTCGACAATCTGCTGCTTCACATTTGTCCAAGGAGTAGCTCTGCTTCAGTAATATCACCTCGCCATTCTCTGCCTCACGAGAGCGATATACCCATACAGAGGAAGAGCAGGTTCAAGGTGTCTGTAATTAATGTAAGATGACAAGGCCACACATGGGTAGGTACCTTACTCTAAGCACATGTGCTATCTCCACCCGTGCACATACTGGTCGTACGCTAAATAAGAGCTACCTATGAAAGTACTCCGACCAGTTTTATCACTTATATAGACTGCCCTTATGGAGTGATAAACTACAACTCTCACGAGATTGCTTTGAGTTGGCTATCGTCATTGTCCTTGCGTGGAAGAAAGGCGGAGGCTGGTGTTTCAAAAAGCTCAGGGAAGCAGCTAAAACTTTCCCTCTTGAGGCCCCCAATTCTAATAGGTAAGTTACAGAAGGTACCTAACCCTAGAAAGGTAGGTACCGTAAGGTAGTTTCTAAAACGGATGAGTTAGGCTGATATTATTAGTGGCCTCAGGCAAGGGTCATGTCCTTGAGAAGCGCCTAATCATCGACAGTCCCAGTAATCTAACCACTAAAATCCACAAGATCGGAAGTTAGTCTACTTACTATCTTACCTAGATATATTAATACTGTCACTCTACAAGATAGGTGCGCCGTGCGGACTTACGGCCCAAGACGATCAGCATTGATCACAGTCCACCATTGAGGACAATCTGCTAATCCACCACAAGTGGTGGCTGGTATGATTTTGGGGCTTGTTCGTCTCACTCGTTACACTTCCCTTGACTTTGTTTCCTTCATCTTCACGTAATTACGGTGTTCCAGTGACTTTCTCTCCCTTCCCACCTCACGCCCTCTCCAGGTGTCAGTTGGCCCCCTCCCTTTCCCTTTCGGCGACTTGGATTTGGTCCTACAACTTCACCGGAATACTGCCCTGTTGCCCGTGCTGTTTAAAGGAAGGTATTCCCACAGTGTCCCAACGAATGCAGTCTACCTTGAGCGGTTCGTCTCGCTCCCAGCGAAGTCCACCTCGACACGTTCCCGCTGGGTCTGCGAGCAGTGCCGATTCCGCCATGACCTCGCAGTCTTCCGCACCACGCAGTTCATCCAGCTCGGGCAGGTCTCAGTCGTCAAGGACTGTTGTGGTAAGCTTATTGTTCCCTCTGTCGTGCTTTCCAACTGTGCTTTTTTGACATACTGGCTTGGTTTCTTGTTTTTCTGCCCTTGTTTATGCTAACGACGCTTTCTCCCTTCAAATCCTCACAGCCCGATAGACAAATTTCCCAAATCGAGAAAAGTGTCACCCATCTCCTTGTCGCTACAAAACAACTACTGGAGACCTTGACTCAATGGTCTCGAAGGCAGGCGTCTGAGAATGAAGTCTCAGACGTCTATGTACGACTGGGTTATGAATTTAACCTAGCCTGCCGCGCCTTCAATGCGATTGGTGTTGATACCTCCGACCTGGGCCCAGTGCCTGACCTCCTCCGCACAATCCTCGAAGATACACTGAGCCAGGACGCGTCTCCTCAGAGCCTCGATCGATATCTGCCTCGTATTCGTGACATAATTATCAACCTCCTCCATGGTCTCAAGAAGAAGCAGGCTCGCTTGCGCTCGCGGCAGCAAAGGGAAGAAAGCCGGCCCTTACCTGGTCGGCAGGCAAGCTCGGGGAGTGCTGTTATAAACCAGATGTATGAGGAAGCCGCAGCCACCGCCAGTTCGCCGAAAAGGCCAAGTAGTCGTCGGCATGGAAGCAATGGCTCACTCGAAGACCAGTCCGGCGGGGCTCATGCTGGTTCTACAGTGCAGCCTTCAAGCGACACGAGGGGTACTAGCTACTCGGAGAGGGAAGCGTCAAGACGAGAGGCGCAGCAGATCCTATCTCAGCCATCGCAACCTGAGACCGAAACTTCCTCCAAGGTAGCCATGCCTTCACCCGACTTCTCTGGTTATCCTACTCCTCCCCCTCCGCCCCCTCCCCCAAGCAGGACGATGCTTTGGGTGCCCTCCAAAGAAGTGGAGAACTGGAAAGACGAGCCTCGCGGCGGTTTTCTGCCTACCAGATACAGAAACATTTGGGAGCATCGACAAATGGTGTCCCTGTTCTGCCAACACAAAATTCTCCTGTCCCAAATCGCGGTCGTGATGTCCGCGAATCTTTGAATGCAGTACGCTTGCGAGGGTCTTATGCACACGGGAGACAACGGTCGATGAATCGTCCGCAAGATGCGGTTACCCCAAGCAAAACTGCGAAGCCATTGCCATCCTCTCACCTTGCGCAAGGAGGAGAGGGCGAGCTCACCAAGGCTCGCACCGCATCTCCGACAGAGTCTCAGGCAAATGCTTCCGTTGCGTCCCAAATACGTCCGGACAAAGTGCCACCCCGATCTGAAGATGATACGGTCGATAGCGCTACAGTTGCCGGAAAACAGCCTGGGCTTCCTCAGTCCGCCGAGGAGCCATCCCTGGCAGAGGCATTTGAACCGACCAAGGATTCTTCCATACCCAATGAAGGAGCAGCGCCGGGCACACCAAGCTCAATCATGCAACGACCGTCTACCGGTGTATCAACTCCACCGCAGACCTCGCAGTTTGCATCTGAACAGCCGTCCCCCGGAAAAGAACTTACCTTATTTTTACAATACAAAAGCAAGATCAAAAAGTATGTTCTTCCGGAAGGCTACAGCGGTTTGACCATCGGTAGACTGCAGCTTGCGTTCATTGAGAAATTTGCGTGGAACACGCACAACAACGGGGTTGATCTGCCAGAGATTTATATTCAAGACCCGATCTCTGGGGTGCGGCATGAATTGGAAGATTTGAATGACGTCAAAGATAGATCGGTTCTTGTCTTAAATGTGGATATACTTGATGAGGTCAAGAAACATTTCGATGATGAGCTTGGAGGAGTTCGTCGTCTGATTGAAGGCGTTAAAGGTTCTCTGGAAGGACAAGAAAGTATCATCCAGCGCGTGTCAGACCGTCAGTTAGAGGCCGCAAAGGAGATTGCGCGTCTGGCCGCCGCGCCCCCCGTCTCAATTCCGACTTCTCTTCCAGATGGAACCGCTCGGAAGGGCCCTATTACTGGAAGTAGCAGCCAACTGGCTGAGCTTCAGAGTCTGAAGCGTGACCTTGCAGTGCTACGGCAGACATACTCGAATTTCTCGTCGGATATTGCCAGCTCCATGAATGCGATTCGTGCTAAGGCAAATGGTGTGAAATCTGCAGCTGCAGATGTTGCCGTGCCGTCCTATGAAGGAGATGCTGGTCGTGCCCGTGTCAACGCCGGCAAGAAAGAACTCGCAGATGAGTCGGAACGACTCGTTGGGCGCGTCGACGACCTTCAGGATTTGGTTGAAGATCTTCGTAAAGACGTGGTATCACGTGGAGTCCGACCCCTCCCAAGGCAGCTAGAAAGCGTCAGCAAAGAAATTAGCGCCGTCACCAAGGAGATGAAGAAGATGCAAGAATTCCTGAAGCGGGAGAAACCAATTTGGACGAGGATTTGGGAGAAGGAGCTCCAGCTTGTGTGCGAGGAACGCGATCAATTAACCATGCAGGAAGATCTGGCCGCGGATCTTGAAGATGATCTCGAGAAGGCCGCTCAGACTTTTGCTCTAGTTGAACAGGCTACCAAACAGCAGGCGTTGCAGCAGAATGTCAACGGAGGCGTTGCTCTGCGAAACACCTCGCGCAACGTGGTTATTGACCCAGCCGTCGACCCCATGAAGGCGAAGGATGGCGTTCTGGGTGAGGTTCGCGCACTACAGCCTAATCATGAATCGCGACTAGAAGCGATCGAGAGGGCAGAAAAGGCTCGACAGAAGGAACTCGAGAATCGTCGGATAGGGCTTTTCCAGAAAGAGCTTGGTGCGTTTGTTCAAGAGGGAAAGCTGAAAAAGAGTGGCGGCGTGGAAGAAGCTGAGCGACAACGTCGAGTCAAAGATGATCGTATCCGGAAGGAGGTTTGGGAGAGACAGCAAGCCCGAGCAGCGGAAATGGAGAAGGCAGAAGCGGAATCGGCAGCGGCAGCTTCTGCCCAACCTGAGCAGTCAGACCAGTCCGAACAGGCTGAGCAGCCTTCAATCAAAGATTCAACAGAAGACAACACTGAAGCAAGCGCCGACAATGGAGACTCGTCCTCGACGAGCAAGGGCGAGGAAAAGACAGCATCTTCGGCACAGGCTTCGGCGTCAGAGTCAACCAACGGAGAGGGAGAAGATACCAAGGAGGACGAGCCAACGACAAGTGAAGGCCCAGTAGACTCGTCAACATAATAGCTCCTGTTGTTCGTTTGTCTACTTTCTACACCATTGAGCACGTCAAACGACCTCGTCTACCCCTACCAAGTCTCTTCAAGAGCACTTGGCCGCACCAAAGCGGCTCGTTTGTGATTTTTGTATTACTTTTCATTCATTCTCTTCCCTTCCGCTTCCACAGTCATCTCATTGCACTTTGTTCTTATCATGCCAGTACTCTGTCTATCCCAGTTCATCGGCGTTTTTCTCCCTGTCATTACATTGTTCGAAAGCGTGAGCATTGCATGTTGCTGACGATACCCCTGCCCTCATACGGCGTGTTATGACCCTTGTGACGATACTATTGTCCTTGCATCCTTTGACATATTGCAGCTTCAAGTAATTTTATACTACCTCAGCGAGGAATAGAATATGTGCATACTGTGAAAGACGTATTGACCTGCCATGGCAGTTAGAAGACCCTTTCTAGGTATTTAATCTCTCGTAATACCAATACATGCATACGCTCATGGATTTGATCCTTGGTTGGGCAGAGGGCATCTCATGATACCTAAAAAGCGGTGAGTAGTGATTCTCTGTATTGCCAGCAGAATCAGGTGTTCAGTCCCCAGCCACATGTTTATTGAGGAGTAATTTCATGTTTCAAGCCTGCAGTGCTCTTTTATTTTGCTTCTTTCCTTTTATACTAGGGAGAAGCCTATACAGACTTCATGAATTGAGAGCTACTGTATCTACAGTCGTCAAGCCTCTGTTTGGGCTGATTCTCGACTGCCATTCTATTTGGCGACCTTATCGATAGGCACCTGAGAGCCCAGAAGCTATTTACCTGTGCTTGATCAAGGACCACATTGTCGCCCTGTAAGATGTTTCCATCTGCGTCTTAAGACTAAATGGGCGATACTAATCGAGTCAAAGCTATAGAGGGTACTCGGATCGATGTGGCCCATCCATTTCATAGTCTGGGCCTTAGTACCCGCATCGATCCCAGTGCATGCCTTCTCAGCGAATGGCAGCTCATCGTCAATTTCAGCCATCAAGGATCTCTCCAGACGGAATGACGACTTGCACTCTGAATTCGCAGGGGCAGTCATCCGCGGTATCAAGAAGATGTCCGAGGATGAGGGGAGAAGTTTTTCTTTGATTATTGGGACTTTGAAGGGGCAGACGAGGTTGGTCTGACCACGAACGAGACGCATAGCTCTCAAAGCTACGACAACCACGAGGCACCGGAGATCCAGCCTCGGGCATATCCATTTCGGCCGTCGGTGCCGATTAATATGGGCTTCAGCCCGCTGTTGCGGCGAGATTTCAAGTGCCCGACTGGCACTTTCGCTTGTACGGCGATTGACCGGCCGGACAGCTGTTGTGGCGCTGGAGATACCTGTGTGCTGGTCCAGGACACTGGGTTGGGTGATGTTGGCTGCTGTCCTCAAGGCCAGACTTGTTCTGGCGTCATCGGGTCCTGTCAGCAGGGTTACATGAGCTGTCCGGCTTCCATGGGGGCGGTTGCTGTATTCCTGGCTATGAGTGTGTCAGTGGCGGATGTAAGTTTCATGTTGCTGAGTCTGCGGCTCGGATCGGGTTTAGCTGCGTGATAGGCTGATTAATGTTCATTTGCACAGGTGCCAACGTCTTCACGGTGACGATAACCTTGAGTTCCACCGTCATAGTGTCCACTGGTACTCGGACCGTCCCTCCAGAGACAACCCAGTCCGCGAGCAGCAGCACTAGCAGCAGCAGGAGGACGACAACACAGTCAACAGGCGGACTGACGCCTCCAGCTCGACCTACCAGCCTCTCCACCGCCACCACCTCCCAGAGCAGCCAGACAGGCTCAATCTGCCCAACCGGGTTCTATGCCTGTTCTGCTTATTATGAAGGAGGCTGCTGCCGCACCGGACGGGACTGTGACACTACGTCCTGCCCTGCGAAGGCATCGTCGACCATCACGTCGGACGGTCGTACCATCGTGGTGCCAGCCCAAACGACCAGCGCGGCTAGCGGAACGGGACGATGCGCCAGTGGCTGGTTTAGCTGTGCAGACACTGTGGGTGGAGGATGCTGTCCAACTGGGTATGCATGTGGTTCCAGCTGTACCGCTGTAGCAAGTGTATCTGCTAGCGGAACCCTGGCCAAGAGCCAGCCCGAGAATGCGGCCAGCCGACACTCGATCAGGGCGATATGGGCAATTGGTGCTCTAGGGATGATGATATTATGGATATAGACTACTTGATGACTTATGTGTTTATGACGATGATAACAATGACACCGATAATGACAACAACAATAGAATGATATACTGTCCCCTAAATATTTCTAAAGTAACAATCAACGGCTGTTATCGGGTAAATGAATGCGGAAAAACAGACCCCGTGGGGCGGTGTCTGAGGACGGCACATGGGGGCAGCGAATATTACCCGATCGGGACGACACCCGGTGAGCAAGCACCGACACTCTCCGACACCGCAGAACCTCGTTTACTATCTTCACCACTGCTTCAGGCTCAAGCTTGCATTCAATTATTTTGCTTTCCCTGCTGGTGTCAGGACTGTGTTGGCTTTTCATAGTTCTTTTGGGCTCTGTGTCTGAAATTGATTTGGGTCTGGTCATTTAGCATTTCTTTGTTTATCTCACTCCGGATAGTCGCTTGCCCACCATGTCGTCTAGCAACCAAAAGCCTCTTCCGTTTGCCTACCAGTTCGCCGCTGGAGCTGTCGCTGGTGTCTCAGAGGTATGAGCTCGCCGAGGATCTATCGGTTACCATGTTCTCGAGTACTAACTTCGTTGCTTCTAGATCCTTGTCATGTATGCGATACCCCGGTCGAACCCCACCCATAACCTCACTTTAGCCCGTTAACGAATGCGATTCAAAATTCCACAGGTACCCATTAGATGTGGTCAAGACACGAGTGTAAGTGCTCTGGAAACTCTGCACGCGCCAATGCGATCGTGCGAAGTCGGGTTGGAAGGAAGCGCAGCTGACATGGGGTCATCGTGCCACAAATTGCAGGCAACTTCAGTCCAACGTCGCTACCTCCGCTGCAGAGGAAAGATACAATGGCATGTTTGATTGCTTCCGCAAGATCATCAAGAACGAAGGGTAGGCCGTATGCACATATGCACGAAACTCATACCAACCTTATTAGACGAGAGGAAATGACCGGTGATGTCGGAAGCTAATCCTCTGACTCCGAGTAGATTCTCACGTCTATACCGCGGTATCTCGGCCCCCATCCTGATGGAGGCTCCCAAGCGTGCGACCAAGTTCGCCGCCAACGACAGCTGGGGCTCGTTCTACCGGGGCCTGTTCGGCGTGCAGAAGCAGACACAGTCGTTGGCCGTGCTGACAGGTGCCACCGCGGGCGCCACCGAGGCCTTCGTGGTCGTGCCCTTTGAGCTGGTCAAGATCCGTCTGCAGGACCGCGCCTCCGCGGGCAAATACAACGGTATGCTGGACGTGGTGCGCAAGATCATCGCCACCGAGGGCCCTCTTGCCATGTACAACGGTCTCGAGTCGACGCTGTGGCGTCACATCCTCTGGAACGGTGGCTACTTCGGCTGCATCTTCCAGGTCCGCGCGCAGCTGCCCGCCCCGGAACCCGGCAACAAGTCCCAGCAGACCCGCAACGACCTGATCGCCGGTACCATTGGTGGTATCGCCGGTACCGTCCTCAACACCCCCATGGACGTCGTCAAGTCGCGCATCCAGAACTCCCCCAAGGTCGCCGGCCAGGTGCCCAAGTACAACTGGGCCTGGCCTGCCGTTGGCACCGTCATGAAGGAAGAAGGTTTCGGTGCCCTCTACAAGGGTTTCATCCCCAAGGTGCTCCGTCTGGGTCCCGGTGGTGGTATTCTACTCGTCGTTTTCACGGGTGTCATGGACTTTTTCCGTAAGATGCGCGACGAATAAAATATGTATTTCATTTAGCATGAGAGACCAAAAAAATGTTTTAGGATTAGATGAATCGACATGTCTCACCGACATAGCAACGTCTACGATGGTGCAAGGCGTCGTAAATAGTGACGATTGTAATAGGCTAGCGTACATCTCCTACAGAAACGGGCCAATGTCTAGCTACCAGGTCATACTCAAATACGCAGGCAAGATTGCGACAGTCTTATTTGAAAGCCCTTGATTGATTAGAACAACTGATAAAGCAGTAATGATTAGACATCGAGGGCAGCCTTGTCCATAACAACAGTCAAAGGCACATTGCAAAGCCGTAGCGCAACAAAATCCGCGTGTAATGGAAAAGCATCCGAAATAGGCACAGAACACAGACAGCCGTGTATGTCAAGAGGAGAAAGGAAAATAGGGTATCGATATAAATGTAAACAGAACATATGCTGGCGACTGAAAAAGAGAAACCAAGGCGGATCAACAGATGGTGCGAGAACCGTTGCTGGTGTGAGATTACCGCCGAGAACAGAACATTGCAGTCATTCATAAGCCGGTGCTATGCAGCGATATCGACGTCGAGATGCAACATAACACCGAGGTCTGGGAAAGCTGGAAAGAATGAAAAGGATGAAGGAAATAGAACAAACAAGATAGATCTTGAACGGACAAACCCATGAATATAAAACAAATAATCAGATACACTCGGTAGCCCAAAGAATAACAAGCGACAGATGATGAAAACATTAGATCCGGATGGTAACGTCGAAAATGACGCGATGTCAAGACTTCGTACGCCGGTCAACTGCTGAACCCTATCCCTCCTCCGTGTGACGCCTGTGTATGCAATATGTCATGACATGCACTCGTAGAAATAATGACCGACTGAGTTGCGATCCCACAGAAATGAAGAGATTCTTTACTGCATCTCCATTGCGTACTCATCTTCTTCCTTGAAGCTCATTCCCGCATGGCCGGAGCTGTTCCAGTATTGTGCTTGACCCGAGTTCCCGCCGTTGCTGCTGCCACCACTGTTGTAGGATGGGCTGAGACTCTGCGGGCTCAGCGCCCCGTTCTGGGAAATAGGCTCGCCCGCTAAGTTGGTATGCTTGGGCACTCTCAAGCCGCTCCCGGGGCCTCGGCTGTAAGTGAAGGTGCTAGGGTCATTCTTCTCCAAGGCATCCAGGATCTCACTCCGCATGCGCTTCTCCTCCTCCGTTTGTTCGAACGGCCAGGTGCCTCCGAGACTAGTGATCAACTCCGCGAGCTCAGATTCCTGTTGCAGCTTAACGTGCAGAGCCCACATCAAGTCGCGCATCCAACCCACGGCACCGTTGAGGATGTCACCCTTGTTAGGGCCCTTCTCCTTCTCCTCGAGGGGAAGACCCATAGTGATATTACCAGCAGTAGCACGACGGCCATTGCCGCCGGCCAGGAGAGAGGTGGCTGCGTTTGAACCAGATACGTTCCCCGACATGGTACTGTTATTGACGAGCTGTTTCCGGACCTTGTCATCCTCCAGACGATGTTGCGGTACGAGGTGCGAGAGATCCTGAATACGCTCGTTGATGTTGTCTCGCCGACGGCGCTCGACCAGGTTGTGCGAAGCTCTCCGGCGCCGACGCTTTGCTTCTTGCGATTCCAAATCCTGGGCGCTGCCCGGCATGTGTGTATCAACCTTGGCGGGCAAAGAGGCATGCTTGCCAGACTTGAGGATCTCCGAGATGGCGGCATGATGAGAGGGATGGCCCGGCGATGAAATGGGGGACTCCATACCGAAGGAGTGAGCGCTTCCGGGAGTGCCATCCCACTGGTTGGATAGAGTCTTCTGATGCCGTGGTTGCAATCCAGTACGGATCGGTTGTGTAGGGAAACTACCAGATTCCGGAGTTCCAAGAGTCAGGGCACCCAAAGCTGGAGTTTTAGGGGTCATGGGACTGCGTCCATCGGAAGATGTGCGGTCGATCGCCTGTAGACTCGGGCGTGCCTTGGAGTTAAGATAGCTCTGCTCGAAATGGGAACCCTGAAGATGGGAGGAATTGTGTTGTTGCTGGTTCAGACCGCGGAAGTGATCATAATTGAAACTGTGCATGAAGGGGCTGTGCATCGGAGCCCCTTCAGGAGTGTTGGAATACATCTGCGACATATGGCCGGGATGACTCATAGAGATGCCAGCACCGGAGTGGTCCTGCATGAAATTCATACTGGTATCGCGTGGGAGCCCATTCTGACCGTTGATTTCTAGGTCCAGCAACTCGTCTGTATCGATTCCCGAGTTTCCAAAGTTGAAGCTTGATGACATATTCTGTTGTGAACCGAACGGGTAGGACATGAAACCGCTGTTCTGCATGGTCAGCTCCGAGGGATCCACGGCCTCGTTGGAATTTCCAAATTGGTTGTTTATGGAGTAGCCGTTCTGCGACATCATGAAGTGGTTGTTGTTGTGATCGTCTGGGTCGCTCTTGATGAAAATGCTCGCTTCACTCATAGCGTTTGAGCAAATAGCATAGACTGACTCCCCGAGATCAACTCAAGAAGAATATAGTACTCGGAAGTTAAGTGGCGATGGAATTGAAGGACTCAGAGATGTAGCGGGGGATTGCGACAATATGTAAATCCCGGATACCCGAATGGCGAAATGAAGTAATTCTATGGAGATGCACCGACAATTCTCGTTATTGCATCGAGAAGGGTACGTGATGATCACTTAGGTAAAGTGGATATGAAAGCTGTCGGTTGTCTGCAAGGCGACCGTCAGCTGGCTAAATTCCAAGAAAAGGAGCCATCCAGTGGATGTGAGGGGCTGCACAATGCATGCGCCAATGAAGGAAACACCCCAGAGAAGAATAGGGATGATGATACGTACGCTTGTATGGATAAAATGAGAAAATGATGCTGGCAGGATGAAGTTGGGTATATTAATGCGGGACAAGTGGCTGTGTGAACAGGTCAAGGGATGTGATTCGGAAGCGGGCGATTCGGAGAATGCGCGCGTATCGTGGGGGGTGTACTCCGTACTAGCCTACTACTAGGCCACACCGACGATCGTCAACCACGCGAAGAATGATGAGTCAGATCTCGGCAGCCCTAAAAATAAGCAACAGGCAAATGAGAAAAGCACATAAAAATTATGAGGCAATAATTCATAAGAGAGCCGACTCGGAAGATAGAGAGAAATGAGTCAATCGAGGATCGGAGGATGAGGATGCGTGTCCAGAAGGAATTTAGTTGAAGAGAAGGGTGACGATGGTTGTGGCCGGGAGATCCAAAAGCAGTCGCAAAAAGGAGAAGAGGCGGCGGCCAGACCAAAGCGGACAAGAAAGGGACGGAGAGAGACAGAGACAGAGACAGAGACAGAGACAGAGGAGAGACCGGGTCCGAGGAGGCGATGTGGGTTTGTCTGTCGGGATTTGGGGGGTTGAGCCACGATAAGGGAGAACCATCAAAAAAGCAATGTTGGCTGAGCCTTTCGAGGCGAGCAATGTATTCGCAGGCAGACAACTCCGCGGTGCCTCTCTCCTTTATCTTCTTGCGTCGTCCCTGGTTCTTTTCTTTCAGTTCCTTTTCCCCGCGGTCCTTGGAGGATATGACAGATCTTAGAGCAAGATGAGCTCAAGTGAGGGGGATAAAGTGATTAGATCCAAACTGGCCCGGGAGATGGACAGTGGGGTAAGCCTGGTGAATATTGGACACTGGACTGCGGAACCCGGGGAGAGGCGGGTGGGCAACAAATTGATCAATATCATCCGTAGAGACGACTCGTAACAATACATCCAATTAATAGAAGTAAAGCAGTCCCCGATTGACGACTATTAATATGGGGACCATTGATTTGGATCGATCATTTTGCCTCGCTGAGCATGAGAGGGGTGGAGGGGAAAGGATTGTCCCCAGAAGGCGGTCAGAGCGACAACATGCGGAGTTCTCGACCGCTTATATTCATTACGGCGCAATCCACGAATGTGCTCAGCGATCGCTCTTTGTTGCTGTTCTTGTGTCTCCGGTTTCAGATCATGTAATGAACGCTTGTCCCTTGCGTATCATGCTCATGCAAAGCGAAGCACTTCTTTCTTTCTCCTCTCGCCCGCTTTTCGGCGGGTGTGAGACGGAAATCCAGGTCCGAAAGGGTAGACCTCCGTATCCTAAAGCAAAGAGTACTAGGTTGCCCCTCTGAAGCTCAGCCCTTGGGTAGGATGTCCGAACAAGGAAATGGCGAATCAGCGCTGCCACAAGCTCTTCAGCAGAAATCTGCGAACAGCTTCGGCTCGCGTTTCTCCCGACGGTTTCCCCTGCAGAGCTTGATGCAAGCGAGGTTGTGCAGCAGATGGATAAATGCTGTAAGATGTTGTCCATAGCAAGGGATCTTTTTCCTAGCATTCGGCGTAGAATTCCTTGGTTCACTCATACCCATTCCAACAGGAGGGGTAGGTATAATCCGTCTTCTTTCGGAACACTGCCTTGGTGGAAGAAGGTAACCATCCGGCATCATGGCCTGTCGCGTCTCATGTTGATTATCCTGCATGGAGGGATCCCCGCATGGACCTTTTACCCGGACCGCATCTCTCCAGGCCTCATAATAAACTGATCTCCAGGGTACGGCACCAATGACGGAGATGAAAACATATCGGGAAGAAAATAAAATTATATTCACTTACCAAGCAACGACTTGAACTGTGTTGATTAAAGCACTCTAATGGGATCTGTTTTGGCAGCGCAGATCAGCTCTGATCCCTTAGGAGCGGACGCTCTTCCATGCACAGAACATGAGAATACGAAGAGAGTGGGATGAGGCCAGGGGGTTTTTGAAGAGGAACTCCGCAGCTCCAAAGAGCCCAATCAGGCGAACAGGCAGAAGCGCAAGAGCCTTACCCTTTGTGAAGCTGGTGCCGGGGCAAAGAAGGGGCAATAGCAATTACAAGACGTTGAGAGGAACGCAGAGCAAGACGAGTCCAGGGAAGAGACAGAGCCAGAAGGAAACAGAGGTAGCCGTGAGGCTCAGCTAGGATGGATGGCTTACAGTCACTTGAGGTTATCCGCTTGGTACACGGGAAAGTCGGGAGCCAGGATGAGAGGGCTCGAGCTCAAAGGAGCAATCAGGACGGATTCCGCGGCAAGAACTGCAGCGAACTGGTTTGATTTGATTTCGGTCCCTCTTCTGGCGAATGATGAATTGCATGAAGAAGAATCGAATCGGATTCAAGCGGGGTGCTGAGGATAGTGGATAGACAAAAAGCACTTGTCCTCTGACCGGGACAATGAATCCAGACGATAACTGTGAGAGGTGAGTGATCAGTAATCACGAATGATCCTTTTCGAAGGCCTTTGCAGAATGGAAAGGATGAAGGAATGAAGGCTTTAAGGACTTCTCGAGGCGCTCCTGGGAAGCTCTCATTTGATATAGCACGGTGATGGTCATGCAGGGTGTCGATCGTCCATCGATGAGGCTTGATGCCGCTACAGCATTACGTACCTTGATTGCCTATCTACCGCAAAATAAAATTATTTATTCTTTCTATTTATTTATTTATTATTTTATTTTTGATTTTACTAGAGTATTTATTTATCAGATAATTCCTCTGCGGGTTGATAAATGAAGTAAAAATAAAAAATAAAGAGTGGTGTGGACCGACCAGTGGCGATGCGGCATTGGTGGAGGAAGTATGTGATGATGGAGGGTCAACCAAAGCGATAAATCTCAGACTGCAATTTCATTATATGGGATTTATTTACCAAAGGAGGGGGAAAGACAAGAACGATGGTGTATGGAGGGTGTTACTGTCCGGATTGAGAAAGACGACGAGGTAGTAGTGGCAGATCTGGACAAGAGGATGATCTCGAGTCAAGTATATTAGGGCATTATTGCCCTCCATCTTCATAAGGTCGGCATTCATCCCATGAGCAGCCCAGTACGATGGCTGTCACCTGTTCGTCCTCAACAAGGGAGTCATGACTCACTCTCCTGGTCAGCCTCTCTGCCTTGCTTTCATGATAATTCCTTGGTAGCAATGTATCAGATGTCCAGCCGGGGTTAAAAGAATACCCTACATACCATGCCTTCCACTCTCGACCATGATTTATACATAATTCTAGTGAATGATCACTCCTCGAACGAAGAACAGATAGAATGATCAAGCAATGTGAGTATTTGATATTGGATCTAATTGGATCTAGAGCTCTTCACCTTTCGCACGAAGCAGACATGACATCATCTCGCCGACTAATTCTACCGCATTGCAACGACCATTATTTCTGCTCCAGAGCATGTATGCTCCTCGCCCAAATATTTTGGCCGACTCGCCGATGGGGTGGTAAACTGATGGAGGGTGGAAAAGTACTCCGTAGACTCGTTATACAGAGTCGAGAATCAAGTTTCAAGAATGTCTGATTCGTGGGACACCACCATGTGGAAGGGTTGAGCTAGTGAAAAGGCAACCGTCGTCATTAGTTTCCTTTTCTCTCCTCTATGATTCTATCTCGTCTCTTGTCTCAGATCTATGTATAGAGGCACTAGGAAGATCGACGATTTCGACAGGCTGGAATCCATACCCGGAGGAATCGCCAGTGCACTATGTGGTGTGGCCTGTGGAGGGGCTCAACCGTTTACTTTCAGCGCGAGACTTGACTTTCTAGCTTGTGGTGCAGTGGTGCAGTGGTTGTGTATTTGCAAGTCACTGCCATGTTCGTATCAACTGGTGCTTGGACCCAGACGAGCTGGAACAATAAGACTGCGAGGATTCATCATCCGTCCTTCACTTGTCTTGTCTCGCCGCTTGTCCGAGCGCTTCAAAAGCTGAGTACGGAGTTAAGCCCAGTCTCCAGTCCACAGCTTTGAACCTCGTAATCTGCTTTAGTCTAACAATCTCGTTAGTCTCCAAGAGGTCCGTGACACCCTGCAAGGTGGTGTATCATGTCGCTTTCCGAGATGCGTCCTGCACCCCGAACTACTAGACACTAGAGACAACACTAAGGGTACGTTGATGGTCCAACCAGGCTTGTCCTCTCATATTCCGCCCTATCTTATCACTATTTTGAGGATCGAGCGAAGAAAGGCATGTGTGCGAATATCGACGGCTGTCGCGCTTCGTACCTCGATCTTTTTCCGATTAGATCATGATTTGGAATACTGTCGTCAGAAGAATGCGGGGGGAAGCTTATTAACCGGAATGCTGTCAGCAATGGACATCACAAACCCGCTTTTTTCACTCATATTTGATCAGATAGAGAAGAATCTACAACTAGCCAAATGGCTGATTTTTGATCTTGGTTGTTGACCATGACTATGAAGTCATGGTCCTCAGCTGGTATTTAACGGCTCGCAAATGGTAAGCTCATGCAGTATAAGCTCAATCACTCCAGCCTCCTACCTGAGGTGACCACAGTGGAGTCTCAAGGTAGGCAGTCAGAGCTATACATCGCTCTTTACATCACTTTATTTGACCTCTTTCACTGATATTACAGATATCTACAGTTTACCCCTTTTCCTTCCTTTCGAAATCCATGACTAGGCTGATGATTGTGATGAAAAGCTCCCTGGTCTCTGGCTCGTGCCCGTCCCGTCCCGTCAAGGTTCGGACTGCATGATTATGGCCATCAGCAACCCATGGTCACTGCAAGGAGTCATTAATAATATTAATGGAAACTACAATACAGTATCCAAGGTTGCGAGAGACCCCGGTTCGGGGTTTGCCAGAGTAGATCTCGGTAAATAGCTTTCTATATCTTGGTTGACTTCCAAGAATAATATCTTCCCCTCCCTCCTCCGCCAACAAAAGGCCAGGGTAATACGTCAGCTATTGCTTCGCCTCTCCTTGATTTGCTCCGATCTGCCCTGCTTTGTTCCTCATCCCTGTCATATAATGGGCATTGGTATGGTGATTTTATTTGTAGATATGTAGCAACCTCTTATGAGGTCAAAGGGAGAATATCTCCGCTAGATCCGCTGGACGGGTGGATCATCCACGAAAATAAATGTACTCTGTAGGTACAATGCCGATTGCAGTGATACATCTCAGATTATGCGTCTATCTCCCGCCTGCCCGGCTTCCGGGGTGTAACATTCTCAAAGTAAGTACGTACCTGCTTACTCTGCAAAAGCAACAGAGCTCGGATAATACCTATCAATCTATGCGCTATCTCCCCGCATAAGTTCCCATGTCCTACCTACCACAACATCGATACAGGTGCGACAAGTTCTCTGTAAGCGCCATGCAATACCACCAACATGCAACTTCGCCTACATGAATATATCTGCCCTTAGCGCATGAATTATTATTCTCGGATGACTTCCGAAAATACATCGTCAGAATACAGAATGTAAGTAATGCCATGGCAGTTCTAGCGAAGATCAGCTCGATTGACAAGCAAGGTTGCAGCAGGGATGCGCTTCGATACTAGGTAGGACCTGCAATCCTCACCGTAAAAACCATTATCCAAGCTATCTAAGGTAAGGTAGGTACTCACTCTTTGCGCTTTCCGATCCGGTTACGGAGTATCTACCATAATGACGCTTGATGCGTCCCCTTCGCTCTTCCCCACTGCTCAGAGGGATTCATAGGGCATCCTTCACAAAGAGTTTCCGAAACAATTCGACATAATCCAGGTTTCTTTTCCATCAATTATATTTTATTATCAGTATCAATTATGGTACTGTCAATACAAAGCAGTTGCACATCAATTATCAATAAAACAGGGTAGGGACATGATTTACTAGTTTCAACATGGAGGGCAGCCATGAGCCGGTCAACCAATGAGATGTATTGAAGCACTACAGTAGATGGAATCTACAGCCTTTGATTGGCCAAGAGAGCCCTGAGGGGGTGACGCCAGCTCTTCTGGGCTTAGTTCCATCATCTGATCACCGGTCACTCTTTCCAGCTCTCCCATTGGCCAGCAGTCCTCAGGCTAGCCCAACCTCCCCCAGCAAAGCTCCTGTTGCGGCCATCGGGAAACATTCCGCATCATCATTATTATTATTATCATCATCACTCATCTAAGGTCATTATCGTCACCGATTCACAAGGTGAAACAACCACCAATAGATCTCAACACCGAGACTATAGTCGTCAGGAATAGTAGAACTCTACTGCTTTTGCGGAGACGCTTACATTTTACAAGCATTTACTGAATCATATCCTGAGGTATGTAGCAGTTAGCAGCCTTGTCCGACTAATTCCTTTGCTGCCTCGACCTGGGAAACGACTACGCACTTCCTCCCCCCTCCTTAACAACTTACTTCCCCTCTCGTCATCTTTCTTCCCTTCTTGTTTAATCTGAGTCATATGACAGTAACTGATCATCTTGCAGCCTATCGACGACCGCCTTTTGTACTCTCGCCGCTCGAAATAGTATCCTTTCCAACGTTACGCTATCGGAGCAGCATCGTCATCGTGCAGCTGTGTTTTGATTTCTCGTTCTCCCGGCACTCTCCAGTCTTACCGGACATATACCATCTTGGGCTTCTCTGGTATCTGAACTTGATAGTGGAATCGCGCTTCTTTGACGCACTTTCTGTCCATCCGGAAGCGACACTGACTCGTCCTGCCTGAGGGAGGGGGAAATACAGCTGTCGATTAGCCGAAGCCTGATAGTACACCTCCATAGCTCTGCAGACGACGATCACAAGCTTGAGCCGTTAACTAAACTGCCGTCGAGAAAGGCTATATTTTTCAGTCGGCGCTAGACAGATTATCATCACCCCGTGCCCAAGCTCCTCGGGAGTCTAGTCCAGTTGTGCAATAGTCAGCTGGCCCGCCTGGGGTTGACCCTATCAAGAGCCAGTTCTCTTAGTTGATCTTCCTTCTCTCTGTGGCTGCGTTGCATTCGCACACCCCCATTCTTGATTCCTGCAGATCATCTGCACGCACATACTGGTTTCCGTCGTGCATAGTCCCTGCAGGCCTCTCCTTAGCTTGGAATTCTACTACGGCTTCTTCAGCGGTCTGCGAGACGCTTACCTTTCTAGCTGTAGCAATAGCGTCTGCAGCGGGATCCCCACCCTCTTCACCATCTTTTGGTAGGTGACAAGACTTGACGAGGCAGAAGGCTGAGCCGAATCAGAGTCATGGCTACGACTTCGTTCCGAGATTCTGTCAACTCATTGGGCTGGTCTCGAAGAGATGCGGATCTACCAGCTCGTACTAACACTTCCTCCACCCCCTTTCTATCAAAATTACAGTCACTGAATCCGTTCGGCCAAGGAGAGGGCTATTTGCGACTGCCCACTCACGAAGCTCCAGGAGCTCCTCTTCCAGCCCCAACTCGACGGGAGGAGGAAGAAGGTTTCTTTGCCCGTAAGTCATCCTCGCTCATGACCGAGATATCCGGATCACCGCCCTCCTGTGTGGGTTACTTCGCCTGGTCCAGGTGACTGGGACTCAGTTCCTGCATCTAGGTCGGTTTTCACACAACGTCTAGTGGCCGCGGATACCTTTATTTGAGTTGAGTTTTTCAAGCGTACTGATCAACGTTGTCCTCGCTAGTAAGCCGATGGGATCGGATGCTCATATTCATCGCCTGCAACCTCGGTGCCGCAGTGTGCTTCATGATTTGCTTTTTCCTTTTCCCAGTGCTATCGTTGAAACCCCGCAAGTTTGCCATTTTGTAAGTGCCCATTCCAGAACCCGCCAGTGACCATTATCCACCCTGCGCCCGCCTTGCATTCTTCCCAGCAACCTTAAAGGAGGGGCACGAGGCGGTGCAGCCGTTGTCATGCCGTGGCTGGGGGGCGTGTAGTACCCTCTGCTGTGACTTATGATATCGCAGTCTCGGTGCATCCACAAGAATATCTTGGTTCCGTGCCTTAGACTGACTCCAACCGGTTTTGATCCTAGATGGTCTGTCGGTTCTCTACTCTTTCTACTATCATGGGCTGTCCTCATGGGACCCCTGGCGTACGCTAAGCATTTGGCCTCGGGATCACGGCTACCATTTACTGCCGCCTATTTTGGCTCGATTGCCATGACTCTCTACTTCGCTATCGGAGTAAGTGCCTTGATTTCCTCGTCTCTATGCTCCATTCCTGCCGCGATGACCGGGATTGGCGGCTTGATAATGTCCCCCTTGCCGCAAATAAATTGCCGGTGCATATGCAAGTCAGCGTTCTCATTCCTACGATGACATCACTCTGCACCTTCGCTTCCCTTGTTATGAGATCTCGGTCTTGTGGTTGCATCGTACAGACCTCGATTTGGGCCATGCCCCTGAATGTCGACTGCTTCTTGTTCTGCTACGGTCCATCTTTCCTCTCACTTTGGCACTAGCATCCGCATCTAACGGCAATGGAATATTTGCGTGATAAGACTACAGAACTGCTGCTGACCTTTGACTCGAAACAGCTCCACTCCACCCTCCTAACACTCATTTCGTCAATTTTCCAGCTTGCAGCCCTGGCCTGGTATCTGGTCAGTTATTTCCCCATGGGTAGCACCGGACTGCAATTCATGGGACGATTCGGGGCACAGCGAGTCGGAGCTTGGATGACCAGCTGATATCCTTCCCTTTTCATCTTTTGTTCACATTCTTGGATGCTAGAACTGTACTGCTGACGACTGTGTACTATTTTTGTGGCTTTCGTAGCGTATGTCTGCACTGTATGAACTTTGCCTACCTGTCTGGGTCCGAGAGCTTCTGATACATCTACTATGAAGATGGATTTGATGATGACTTTGTACATGTACCGTACCCTTCTTCATGGATACCTATTAGACTTTAGAGGAAACCCGTCAATCGAATTATTCGAAGACTTATTGCTTAGACAGTCGGATGTGACCTTACGAAAGGCATGGGAAGGATAACTCATTAACTGCTGGTATTCACTGCGTTGGTTTGAGTCCTACTCTTGAAGCTACCACAAGTGAAGAAAATGCATAGCAAAGAATACGTAGTTTCGGGTAGCCGACAATCCCGTCCCTCGAGTAGACTCATTACAGAACCTCCATCTCACTTCAGCAACTTCCCCCGACTCATCACCATCCCCACTGAGCCCTGCACAACCTTGACACCAGGAATCTCCGCCTCCCAAATCCCAGTGTCCCCGCCCGATCCAACCTCCAGCCACCGCTTCAGCAAGTCATTGCTCTCCTTGGGCTTGACCTCCGCCGAGGCGGTGCCGACCGTTACGTGCGGGATGGGATTCGCACACGGCCAGTCAGGCTGCTCGCGGTCCTCAGGGGGCATGATGCGCGCGACAAACGCCATGATGCGGTCGTCCCAGATGAGACGCTCGAGGCGGACCCGCGCAGGCGCCAGAGTCGGAGTCAGGACAGGGGTTGCGGTCTGGGCCTGCGGCTGCTCCTTCATTTTGGCAATATATTGGTTGGTGTAGCGGTCCCAGATACCGGCGCACTCCGACTTGCTGGCGCGGTGGATGAGGGTGACGTGGAAGGTGGGCTGAAGACGGCGCGAGTTGACGAGATGATGGTACAGGCGTGCCTTTTCCGGGGGTGTGGAAGGTGGGAAGAGCGAATGTAGGAGACTGGTGACTTCGGCGGTTGGGATAGAGATGCAGAAATATTCGATCTTCTGGGCTAGGGCTTCAGGGCTTGGGGTAGGTTCCTGGGGCTGGGCGTGTGCTGGGGTCGGCGCAGCGCCATTCTGACCCTTGTTCTTGTTTGAATTCTGTCTCGGCTTTGTAGACCCATAGCTGTAGCTGAGGTCGAGTTGGACATGGTAGTCCGTCATTGCCCAGGTAATGGCATCGTCGAGTTCCTGCGACGTGGGAACCCGCTGCAGAAGGTCCGGGTAGAATGAATGCAGCGCGTTCACCACGGCTTCGAGGTTCTCCCGTGAAGATGCCGCAACATCCAAGTCGATGACATGGTCAAAGCCGCTGTCGGGTTCACGCTCGGTGTTAATTCCTTCGAATCGGTTCAAGAAACCTTCCATAATGCCGATAATCTCATCCGAGTTCTTCGTTCCAGCGCGAATTGTCTGGTGATTATCTCCTCGCTCTAGGACACGTTTCCGCGTAACCTCTCTGATTGAAGGAAGTAAAACGTCTTTTGGTTCGTGAACGTAGTGGAGAGCTACAAACCGTGCGCCCGGAGACCCAGGGAGTATATCTTCCATGAGCTGCTCTCTCTCCCGCCTCTGATGGTTGTTGCGGTCCGCTATCACAACTGGTTTGTCCGCGAGGAGATTGGCGATTTCGAATGCAAACCTCTTCGGTTTGTTCTTTTGTTTGGGGATGTTATCGTTCTGAACATGGCCCCAGCCGAAAAGCTTGGTTAGAGCGATAGCCAGGGTTGTTTTCCCACAGCCGAGCGAAGCGATGGGTGCTAGAATGACGTCTCGGGTCACTTTATCAGGTTTCCCGGCTTCCATCGCGATGATATCCGATGCCTTTAAGCCTCTCTCCTTTAGAAACCCATCTCGCATGGAGATGATTCCATGGTTCTGCTTATAGAGATCGCCCAGCTTGGGATTTTGGGAGAGCTGCCTCCGAGCATAATGAAGATATTCTTCGGTAATTTTCTGGTGCTTTCTGATGTTCGGAAACTTCCCGGCAATGATCGCTTTGGTACATTCACGCCACTGTCGATACATCAGGTATGGCTCCTCAAATTTGTATTTGAAGAACCAGTCCCCGTACGGGCCTCCGCCTTCGCTCAGCTGGCACCGGATGACAAATCCCTCCGTCTCGCGGCCGTCCCAAGTGCCGGTCTCAGCGCAGTGATCGAGGAACTTCTTGACCGAGTGGATGTCGTCGTATACGAGGTATTTGGCCTTCTTGAAACCCCATGTATCTGCAAACTTATGTACTTCTGAGCTCGGCAATGTCGCGAACTGTGGCACGTTGAAATTGAGCCCGTGAAGATATATTCCTGCAGCTACCGGATCGTAGGCAAGGACATGCTCCTCGAAGCTATCGTCGCAGAGCTCTCCAACTGCGGTAAGGTTCAGCCTCCGCAGCTCTCTGGCCAAGTCCTTGACGGATTTCCCTGTGGAAGCAACATGACGCTCGACCCACTTTTCTCCGGCTTGAGCGTGGCTCAGGTTGGTGTCCTGGCGAACGCCAGTCGAATGCTTGCTACAAACGAGCAAGGAACCGTCCTCCAGGCCGGAGATGAAGATAATACATCCGTTCTCCTTCACACTGAGCTCATAGGGGCCTCTTGTGTTTGTCTCGATATTTTGCCACTTGGTAGTAGGTACTTCATCGATATTGAAAAACTTGTCGTAACCGCGCACTACAATCTCGGGAGTGCCGTCTTTCCTCTTGCTCGTGAACAGACCCCGGGCATAGGTCGGAAGATTGCTGCGTTTGTAGTCCCAGTCCATAAACCTCCATGAGTCAACGGAGATGTTATCTGAGCCTGCCACGGCGAAAGTCGATTTCTTGCAGGTAAATGTTCTCTTCCCTTCGCTTCTATTCTTCTTACTGGAGGCCTCCAGGGCTCCGACCAGATGCGCAACTTCTTGAGGATCCTGTTGAACCATATTGAAATTGTTCACTATAGAGATGCACCAGTATGATTGCAAGGTGTAGCTGTGTACAATGGTGATTCTTTTGAGGGAAAGGAGGAGGAATTGAAGAGGAAGGAACCAAGGACGACTGATACCAGAATGACTAGAGGGAGAGTGTGAATAAAACTTTTTTTAAAAAGACCCCCTAACCTTAGGAAAGTGAGAGGCTACCCTTGCCTCGTGCCCGAGAAGAAGCCTTGCAATGTCTGCCTGACTTATGAGTCAACTGTGATTATTGTGGAAGAGGAGAATGAAAAAAAGACGAGTGAGATCATACCAATGTCTGATTTGCGGGGCAGCAGAGGGGAAAGGAAAATAAAAATAAAATATATCACCGCCCGACTTACCACCAGCCGCTCAATCAATACTGTTTTCTTCTGGTTAACAACTCAGTACATTCAGTACCATTCCCATCTGCACTATCAGGTACGAAATTTTGGATGATCTAGTCGTTTCTGTGCGGTCTGGATTCGACACTGATTTGGTTGACTCATTCGTTAGGCCCAGATCTGTTGCCATTGTACAGCTACGATGACTCAACCGAATCCCTACATTCTGGCCGCCGAAAACCCTTCGGGCCTATTGACTCTTCTGCGCTCGAATCCAGCCATCGCATCCTGTCAAGATGAGCACGGGTACTCTCTCTTGCACGCCGCGGCTTCGTATGGCCATGCGGACCTCCTACGCGCTCTTGTCACACAGTTTAATGTGGACGTCAACCTTCTCGATGAGGATGGCGAGACGTGCCTATTTGTGACCGAGAACGTTGATATCGCCAAATGTCTCGTTGAGGAGCTAGGTGTGGACTATAATAAGAGGAACGACGAAGGGTTAACGGCGCAGGAGACCATTGAGAGCGACGGCGCATTCCCCGATGTCGCAGCATACCTCGCAAAAGTTATGGGCATATCTCCATCAGCTCCTGCAGGCTCATCATTAGGCGCCTTGAATGCTCCTCCTCCGTTGCCGCCAAATATCAGAGTCAACCTGGGAACATTATCGGAGGAGGAAGCGAGCGCAGGGACAGACCAGGTTGACCCAGAGTTTAAACGCCGGATTGACGAGCTCGCCGCGCGGGAAGACTTCCACAGCGAAGCTACACAAAACCAACTACGACAGCTGGTTATGGATGCCCTTAATGGGTCCAATATTGAGACACAGGACAGGGATGTTCGGCGGAGAACGGAATAAGACAAGGGAATCGAAGACGTGATGATGAGAACAAATACCAATAAGCCATATAGCACTGTTCCCAGTTATATTACCACCATGCTCCGAAGGATACACACACTGGGACTTGTTACCAAGCTGGCAAGGCCTCCTAACTCGAGGGTGAAACCGAGATGTAAGTCAGCTTTGGCCAATCGAAGACTCGGAGACCCACAGAGTCGTCGTTTACTTCGCATATCATCCAAGATGAGGATGTGGAGTCTCAGTGTCATCACAAGGGCGTATGTGCTGCCCAATTCGTGTAGATCTTGATGGTTCGGTTTCTTCGCCAAGACCAGCAAAGTCTTAGAAAGACGGTATGCACATCCCTTGGGATATCCAAGGAGAGGCGATAGCCCTTCGCTATTCAGGCTTCATTGTATTGTCATGCTGATGCGTCTATCTTATCGAATGTCCATGTTTCAAATTTGTGAATACCTATGGTCACTCTCCCAGGCGCCCAGTTACCAATTCGGCTTTTCACTTTCAAGCTGCACTTGAAATTATTTTCAGGTACTCGACTGTTCGCTCCTGAAGGACTCTGAGTACCTTTCAATGTAAGGTTTTGTGTAGAGGGTCCATCAGCTAAAAACAACTACTTACTCCATATCTGGACTATGCACGTGATTGCGGCAGAGCAGCTTCCCCGCATCCGAAACTACTACGGAGTGTTTGTTCTCCACAAGCGAAAACATTGACGGCAGAAGGCATCACGGACATCATTATCTGACCCAATTTTGTACACATCTTTGAACTACAGTCCTTCCTGTGACTTTTTTTCACCATGGATCCTACACTCAATCCAGATACTCCTCCGCCTCCGCCTCCGAAGCCAAGTAGCCATGAAACAAGCCGAAGGGGGACACCGCAGCTCAACCAGTCAATACCAGGCACGCCACAGCAGCAATTCCGCGGGTATTACCAAGCTCAGGAAGGGAAGAATGGGGAAAACAGATATCAGTCTCCTTCCATGACTGAAGCCGTTCATGCCAACGACCTCAACTCTCTTCCGAAGCCTCCAACAGTGGAAGAAGGCTGGTTACCAGACGTTGTGAAAGACAAATCGTATGTATTGTTCATGTGCCACTTTTGCGATGGGATGGATACACTAAATATTGGCTTGTCAATTTTATAGGACCGTCGATCTGCAAGCAATTCTGAAAGAACCCAATCTCATCTCTGCTCTAGCAAGTCAACACCCGGCGTGCACAGCCCAACAACAAAATCTCCAGTCTCTCCTCAAATATAACCAGGATCTGACCAGACACCTTCTTGAACTGCAAGCGCGCCTGGATGAACAGCGCGCTTCTACGGAGACGCTTCTTCTGAAACACCAATCGCTAGAAGTTTCATGGAGAAAGAAACAATCGGAAATGGATGCTGCCTTGGCACCGTGGTCGCCCAAGGCTCTTTACCAACGGCTATCAGCCTCTATTTCCGAACAAGAGGCTGTTTGTCGAGCGGTGGAGGAAAGCTTCCTCGAAGAAGAGCATCATGGGCGAGCGACTGAAAAGGAGGTCGCAGATTGGGTCAGACGAGTACGAGCTGAGGCTGCCAAGTTGGCCGCAAGGAGAGAAGCCAAGGCCAGATGGGATGAAGGCAGAGTTGGTGGATGGAGATGAACGATTGGTATGTTTCAGTGCCTTTAAATAATACATCTACTATCCTCATCCTGATCAAATAACTAATATACACAGAAATATCTCTTGGTGGTCCGAGATACTATCTTCATGGCTGGCATATTCACGTTCCATGTGTCATGCACACATTATTACCTGAAACTCCACTGCTGTGTCGAAATATTAAATGTCTCTCCGCAGATAGGATCTTACACCAGATTCTCAGCTGCCCTCTCGACATCAGCATCCTGCCGTGTTGTCTTCCGAGTATCGTGCGTATCAATTGGCGGGTGTCCATCTGCCTCACCTGGGAATCTGGGACACTTGAAGAACGCATGTCTGCGACTTCTTGCCGCCCAAGACCACCCTTCGCCTCGCGTGATGGGGAGATGGTACATTCGAAATCCAATCCATGCAAATATAGCGCCCATGATACTGCCAAACAGAATGTCAAAAGCGTGATGACGATAGTCGAACCAGCGGGACGCAGCAATGAAGCTGGCAACTGCAACAGGCACAAAGGCGATTACAAGCATATAGACCGGCGGGGCTGCTCCACGTTTTCGAATTGATCCATGTGTCGGGCTGATCGGATTTTGGTTCAACAAAGAGTGTCCCAGATATGGAAATGCGATTGAGAACTTTGAACAAAGCCATAAAGTCAAGTATGTCAAGCCCGCAAAAGAAACTGCAAGGTGTCAATATGTGTAGATCCTCTGGAGCAAATATGAGCCACTTACACGATGAATGTCCGCTGGGGAAGCTTGCAAATCCGTCATTTGCAAGTACTTTTGACTTGTTTTGGCATATCTTCCAAGTCACCAGTGTCGGGGCCCCCGCAAGCTTCTCTCCCAGGCCACCGACAGCATAAGTGGTTATATTCGAGAGATCCGGGTTGCAACGCGCAAGCATGTCGGGTCGTGGTCTGCCATATAAGTCCTTCAAACCCTCGGTCGCCATCCATGCCCATGCACAGACGACAGCCAAACCCATCCACCCTGCATTCCATTCCCATAACTTGTATCTCCAGAGTGATGATCGAGACACATTCTGGTCTTTTGTGGACATGGGAATAAGCAGGGTTGTGATCGCAATAATGGCAGCCGGAGCAATCAGAGCTACCACCATTAGGACAGCGGTTGAGACCGTTTCATTTTCCGTATACGGAAAAGAAATGCTTGGGTCGGTTAGGGAGAATGGTCTACGGTTCGGTTTGACCTTGTAAAAGCCAAATCCTATCACCGCAACGATGCTGTAAATATGTTAGTTCATGTGATTCCTTAAACACACAAGTGTTTATTTGATATTCAGTTCATAGGGACGGTCATCATACACTATGAAGATCCAGTCCAGGATATAGGAAAATACTAAGCGCAACGATATGCGACTTAGCGCAGGCCGCATCGTGGTGAACTCAGTGGTCTTGGACTATGGATCTGATAACTGTAGGCTACGCAAGCAATTATTTTGTTGACGACTGGATCAAGACGATGAAAATTTGCGCTTGCACACTTGATGGAATACTCGTGCCAAAGAGGTCACGCGAGCAGTTATATAGTGATGAGAGCGGATGAGCAAGGATAAGAAGGATGGTTTGGGTGGCTGCTGGGGTTAAGAGGCCTTCGTATCTCGCTGGCAGCGGCTGGGAACCATTGAACTCCGCCACGATTTTCCTGGAAGCCAAGCCGATTATTTTGACGATCAATGAACTTCTCTGGAAATGTCCTACTCGTCAGATTCATTAAGGTTTTCCTTTTAACTCATCGCCCCTATTACTCTAGGCTACATCGTTTCTTTGGTTGGGCTAATAATAATGTGTACCTCAAACCGACCCCTTTCCCTCCAAGTCGGTAAAGAAGTCCCGACCAAAATCAGCGCTGCTATCATTGAAGCGTAGCTTCTTGTCGATGCCTTGAATCTTCTTCATATCTTCATCACTCAAGTGGAAGTCGCCCTCGAGATTGGCTTTGATTCGAGATGGGGTCTTGGATTTCGGCAGTACCGAATGGCCCTGTGTGACACCCCAGGCTGAGTGTGCGATTCATGGTCAGTGAACGTCGCTTCCAGCTTGAATAAGTCTGCAAGCGAACTTACCAAGAGCAACCTGTGCGGAAGACTTATTGTACTTCTTCCCGATTTCGACCAATACCGGCTCGTCAATCAGCTTGCCAATCTGGACTTTTGAGGAGTAGATCTCGTTCTGGTTGCCAAAGGGAGAGTAATGGGTGACGTGGATGCCCTTTGATTTGTGCCAATCGACAAAGGACCGCTGCTGCAGCCAAGGATGACCTTCAAGCTGGTGTACGGCCGGCACGACCGAGGTGTTCTGGATCAAACGTTCCATCTCTGCCTTGGAGAAGTTTGAAACGCCGATCGCTTTGGTCTTGCCGGTAGACAGCAATTTCTCCATGGCTTTGTATGTCTGCGACCATGCGATCAGTGGCTGGGCACATAGGTCCGATTGGATGGCAAGCATGTACATACGTCCACGATGTCAATGTCCTCCAGGACATACTTCCCATTTTCCTTGGGGAAGAGCTCATCGCCCCGTTTCCAAGCTACTGGCCAGTGCATCAAGTAGAGGTCGACATAGTCCAACTCCAAGTCGGCGAGGGAAGCATCGAGTGCTCCCTCGACATCATCGGGGTGGTGCTTGTTGTTCCAGAGTTTGGTCGTTACAAAAAGCTCTTCTCGAGGCACACCACTCTTCTTGATTGCTCGTCCTACAGCCTTTTCGGTCAAGTATCTGTCCAGCGTCAGAGACAAATTCCGGCCGGGAACGCAAAGCCAAAATCCAGACTTACACTCTCGCCGTGTCAATATGGCGGTATCCTGCTTTGAGAGCTTCTGTGACGGCATCTTCCTGGGCATGCTCATCCTGCCAGGTTCCGAAGCCGATGGCGGGAATCTCCGCGCCGGTGTTGAGCTTGAACTTTGTCATTTTGTGCGATCTTCCGAATATTATCGAGTAATTATGCGTAATGAGGGCTCAATCCTAGCTGGCGAGTCGATGATGTACTGATAAAGGAACTTTCTATGGTCAAGATGTCTACTTTATAATTGAGCGACGTCTGGAAGACAGGGAATCAAAGCCGGGATCTTAAAGTAACGTCAATTTGACGTACAAGTCTCTCTGCCTTGGTGACCAGCTAACATCAGGCCAGAGTTCCCTGGCTCAATGCGGACGAATATGACGTCTTCTTGAAACAGACTGACGGAATAGGATGGGGATTTGTGGTGCCATTTGTCATTCACGGCAAGCGCTCTACATTTCGACTGGCCAGAGGTAGAAATATTCTATAGAGTCTCTGGATTATATACCTTGAAACAGCTGTCTCTTCAGCTCTTTTTTTATGTAGCCTCTATTCAATTGGCGTTGCAGATGATTATCTGAACGGAAGCCAAAATCATAGTACTCCACATATAGACTCAACGTCCAAGGCGTCGCTCATGGGGCAAAAGAGCTCGCTTCGCTGTTCGGATAGCTTCAGCTATTAAGAAGATAATTCGCACAGTATAGCTCATTGCCATTGACCATTTTCTCGAAAGGGACCTCGCCTTATGGACGGTCTCCATACCGTGGTATGGTGTTTGAAAAGTTGTCAAACAGCACTTATGGTACAAGCCGCTTACCGCACGCTAAAGCAGCTTCCTATAAAATTTCATCTCAACCCACAATGTTTTTTCACCGACGATCATAGCTTGCAACAACAAGCCTCACAACGGACATGATGATGGTCCAATCTTGGATTTCTTGATCATTCCCTTTCCAATGATTGCTAACAGTTATGTTTCGCATTGATTACTTTTGCGTAGAAAAGGTAAGCTTCTCAATGTTGTTTCTTCCATGAACACCATCTCTCTACAGTGCAGGATGAATTCCTTAACAGGATATCCACGTCCGAAAATTCATGAAGGACCCATTTAAAGTCTCTAGAATTACTCTGACACTTTCCAACATGTTATTGGATCACCTGCAGTCTTTTGCATAGCTTGCTAACGTTATGTCTATCAGAATATCCTTGTCAAACTATGACTTGAGCACCTGGAATACACCCCATAAATAATAGTAAAAGGTATGCAGACTCTGATTTTCTCAACTTTCTTTCCTTTACATTGAGTGATGACTCTACGACACGCTAAGGCATTCCTCAAACTTAATCACCATGTGGAATCTGTCTAAACTTAAAGTTTCAGCCTTGTCTGACTACTTCATATCATGCCTGAATTGTTTTGTCTCATTTATTGTTGTCCTCGATGACTAACGAGCTGTACAATAGGTAAATACCATCCGGTTCACTCCAAACTGCATTGACAGCCCCTCGATGAAGATATCTTGAACGAACGGGCGGACAGATTGTGTGCATCTTCCCCATCCATCAAAAGTAGAGCGTACAAACTCTGCAGGTGTTGTGAAGGTGTATCACTTGTTGAGAACTCGTCACCTGAGTTTTTCGCGGCTGTCTTCAGTTATCGTACTTTTGGACTTTCGGGCCCGACTAACAGATTGTACTAGGTACTTCCTATTCTTCCCAATCTCCCATGATTCGCCCCTGCATTCCTCAGTCAACTCTATATGATGAACACGTTATTCACACTGTTTGATCTGGGCGCTCACGCGTTCTGGAAATGAACATCATACACAAAAAATCTGATTTAATGAGGTTAGTACTTCAATGTCCTGGTTGCTCCAATATATGCTAACTTATCACAGCCTGACAATAGTTGACACTTCATCTCGCTTGCATCACACACGACTTGTTCTGGACAGGCTTGCTGATTGTCCGAATTGTTATAGGAATACTTGAATCGTAGTGATTGCTAACGAAGTTCGCTGCAGTGTGAGTACTACCCCTACTCTTTTGCCTTGGATGTTGTATGATGATCTCTTGATTCGCTGTGTTCTTACTGAATACACCTTGAAGAAAAACATCATTTCACCTTGGAGAACTGATACCTCGTCTTCTTTGATCATCAATCAATCTTGGAAGTTTGAAAGTTACTTTGGCTAACTTTGTCACTTGCAGACAATTGCTAGTTCTAGCTCCAAGGAAAATGCAATTACTTTTAATGCTTCTTCATAAAATCTTCAGTAAACATCACATGATAATTGCAGCGTATACCTCACTTCATGAATAGACCATGTTTCTTGTGCCACCCTTCAATGCTGTCGTCGCCGTAGACATCATGCACCGATTTCTTGCCTTCGGGCCATCGTACCCAGGATGGCTTGGAACTTGCCAGGACACAGACCATCTCATCTGGGACCGGCAACTCGGTGTCGATGGCAGATGCGAAAGGATGGATCAGCTCCGGCCAGTGGTGGTCCCACAGCCAGAGCATAGTACTGCAATTGGAACAGAAGTTGCGTTCAGATGAACATTTTGCCTCGTTGGGAGTGCCACGGTCCTTTATAGCGTTGTATTTCCTGCCCTTGTCAGACCAATGCTCGACCAATAGACCTAGCAATCTATGCCAGGCATATCCAGGTCAATACACACTTGATGAGATCCTTTCCCTTGATGATTTTGAGGCTATCCGCGATACCTCCCAGGTTGACGCTGCCGCTATAGCCGCCAACCTTGCGGCAAATGCTGCATGCACAAAGCTGATAAGGAACAGGCGTTTGAGAATCGAGAGTAAATTCCACCCCACCGCACTGGCAGCTTCCTTCAAGTTTCCTGTGTCCACAGTATTAGTGGTTGCTGGTCTGATATGAACGGCACACGGAGTATGTATATGAGCGCAGGTGCTGACCACCAATTTGTGGACTTACATGGGCATCTTGACGGGTATGTTTGTGACCGAAATGTGGAATTATCAGATCCTAGACCTGCCTGTCTTGAGGGAAGATATCTTGGACTACCTTACAGTTGCTGAAGTCTGGGAACAACGTCATGTATATATAGTTCGCATAATGTGGAGAATCCAAGCATAGCCACACTTCCCAGACAGTTCATCAAATGGAGCAAACATACCAGATCAAGAGCATTCTACCCAAACTAGTTAAAAGTCCGCGAAGAAAAAGGTCATAGCATCGACCTAAGCTCTTTCGTGCTGATGCGAATGTGGCCTTCTCGCGTCTCCGAATGGCTGATACGATGATCTCACTTGTTTGGACTGTTTGCCCTGTTTGAGAACGGTCTGTTTCGGCCTTAATTTTCAACATCCGACAGCTCAACTCCGTACAGCATTTACTCATTGGCTCTTGATTCGTCTCTATTTGATATTATTATTACTACTCATTGTCTGATTGAGTCATTTCTCGTATAATCAGTCGCGATGAGTTTTGGAAGCCCCGGTGGTGGCGCAACCAATGTCAAGCCTACTCCGTGAGTCCTATCTAAACTGCTCGGATACTTGAGATACACGCTTTGTGACCAGACTAAGACAGCAGCTAATCAAATCAACTAGTCCTGAGCGAGGGAGTTTCCCACTTGATCATGAAGGTAACTTCCACTGCCCGTTTCTTTTTTGGATTCCAGTGGAGAAGAGCATCGATCGGATAGTCCCAGCAACATATCAGCTCTCGAGGAAAAAGACACATGCCATGAAACATTGCTACTGCGGATGGGGCAAGATCACGGACTAACAATACACAGGCGAATGCAAGCACCTTATTTCCCAGTATCTGAAATGTCTGAAACTGAGGAGAGGGGTTAACGACGAAGAGTGTCGCAAGCTAGCCAAGGGATACCTGAGCTGTCGAATGGATAAGTATGTCTGGGCCGTGCCAACCAATGGTCATAATCGGACCTGGCTAAGTCGCGATGCAAATCGTTAATCTCACGAGAATGAGTGCTAATATGCTCGCTCGAGCAGGAACCTGATGGCGCCCGACGACTTCAAAAATCTCGGACTCGTATTTGAGAAAGAGGAAGCGCAAAACGACAAGACGGCCGGGCAGAATGCAGGGACAAAGTCATAGGACTGTTGGCGACTGAAGATGGCGAGTGTAGGATATACTGGGCATGACGAAGTCGGGAACATGAATGCCCCGGCTCTCACGAATATTGCTATGTTGCTCCTGGCGTTCTGGGCATTTACTCTATCTGTATATATTGGACATATGCATCTCTTGTATATCAACATGCAATCAATAAAAGCCATGCATGACCAATGCGCCTGTCGGGGTAGATTAATCTGCTCTCCCTTTGACCAAGCAGTCGAACGAAAAGCATACTTATACGCTGATCGTAAATGTCCTTTCGAGCGAACTCTGTTTTGTCGATTCCGAACGACAGATATGGGTTGTCAGTGAAGAGGTTAGTGTCTACATCCGAAATTTGTTATTCTTGAAAGTTGATGCGGGGAAACTCTCTTTCGATCTTATCCCGCGATCGACAACCCCAAACGACCGCTCCTAGATGCTCTCAGGGAGCTCCAATTGGCTTGTGCTCAACCCTTTTTCCACACAGAAAGCCACACAGGAGTAATGGAATAACCGCGGCCACCAAATGTCGTCAATCGCACGTCCACCAGATCCCTGCCTGGTCGCCATCATCTTAATTGTCCGCTCCCGTGCGGGCCCACGCCTCGTGTTCCACTACCCTCCCAACCCACTCAGCGAGAACGGCTTGAGAACCGCGCGCAAGGAACGGCGCACTTCACGCTCGAAGAACGGCCAAGGCTACAAAAGCAATGAATCAAGCTCCAGCGAGGACAGTGGTTCCAGCTCCGACGACGACGAGGAGGAGCACCAGCGCCAACTTCAGAGCCAAAACCAGAGCCAGAGTCATCTCAGCGGGAGTGTGGTGTCGGGACGACGGTCGAGTAACTTCGGCCTCGACGATCATGTCGCCATGTCCGTCTCTCCCGGTGGAGATTCCCAGCGCGCTGGGTCGATGGGGTCCGGCCGGACGTCGTTTCGCAAACGAGGCGGCAATTCAGATGTTGAGGAGGATTCGGGCGCGGCGTCAGACAGGCAAGAGGATGGGTCGGGAGGAGGAGCGGGTGGGCCTTATCGTCCACCGTGGGAGTCGCTTCTGGGACTTCCTGCCGATGTCTGGGAGAAGTTATTGAGTCCGTCGCCTGCGTGGCATAAGCGAAGGTTCGAGGTCGGGATCAACGACCTGGCGTTCATTGGATGGCCGGTTTTTGTTCGCGAGGACGGGATGTGGCGGAAACAGAGACGGAAGAAAAAGAAGAAGCGGCGGGCTGAGTGGGAGGGAGGTGAACTGGGCCATAACGAGAATGCGGAGGATGCGCCGGACGACGAGGACGGCGATGCTGGCGGCAACGCCAGCGGCGGTGGTGGGCTGATGGCCGCCTCGACTGAGACATTGAGTCCCAAGCAGATGGCTCTCTCGGAGGGCAAACGAGCGTCCGGGTCTAGCAGCAAAGCCGCAAGGTCATCAGTTGACTGCTTGGACGGCGATGACAAGGATTCAATGACGATGTTCAACGTGGTCTTCGTGTTAGACCCTCCATTACTGGAATACTCCATGCGCACGAGGGAGGTCTACGACAATATCATAAAGAAGTTCGCCAAAGCCTTGAAATGGGAGCAGGCCCGAACGGATTACGTCTGGAGAGAGGCGCAACATATATCACATATCAAAGAAAAAGCTAAAGAGAGGAGTAAGTCGCGATGTCCAAGAACGTCCTCTGAGACGTCCGAATGCTGACGCTTCTTACGTAGGAACCTCCGTCAACACCCTTTACACGGAGTTGATCAATCAATCGTCGCTCGCTAGGGCCATATACACCGTCCACACCAGCATATCCGCATCCAAGATTGCATCCGTTCCGCTCAGTCCGGATGTTTCCATATCGCTTCAGATACCTCCTCTAACCTCGACACCTTATCTGCCTGGACCAACTGATAAAGCATACCCGGGTCTCTGGCTCACCACTGCAGACAGTGTCACCCCGGTGGAGGACCCTACTGCCGATGAAAATACCGCACCGCATCAGGTGCTAGCCAAACACTTTGCGCTGTTGTTGCTGGACAACGAGGCGGCAATCCTCAAGGACGTCGAAGCGTCTGGAGGTGCTCTGGCACCTGCTCTTGCTCACTATCTTCGGTGCTCCAAGCCAACGAAATCCTTTGCGCAGATATCCGCTTCGTCCGGCATACCCCTCTCGACCATACAAATGCTGGCCAGTCATCTTGTTTACTGGCGACGTGCACGCGCCATACCCCCAATTCACCAACGTGATACGTACATTGTATCTCCGAACTGTGACTTGAGCAAGCTGGAAATAGCCACTGCTGCCTATCAGGCAGCATTTCCGACCCTACCCAGCTTGCCCAAGATGCTATCTGCCCTGAGCGGGACACCGAGACCATATGGAAGTTTCATCCCGAGCAAAGACCATAAGGAAACATATTTTGCTATCTTGGCGTGGCTGCTAAGGGGGGTTGGGTGACTCAACTTCGATCATTTGCAAGGATCAAAGTCACCCCGGAGATCAAGATGGCCGTAGAAGTTGCTCTTCGCCGTGAAGAAGTGGACAAATATCTGCGGAAAGGCAGCTCTTTGGAGGCGCAGAAGTCTGCTGATGGCGAAAACGAGAACGAGGCGGATGTGAACGACGATGCTAGCTCGTCCTCGTCGTCATCGCTGTCAAGCCAGGGTAGCGGGGAAGAGACGCCAATGCCCGGGCGTAACCAGCAAGAAAGCGACATACGCCTCTCACATTCCATGCTAGATCGAAGCACGTCGCTGAGAACATCATCTTTGATCCTGTTCCCTCATCGCGCCTCACCACTAGAGTCACGGTGGTTGGAACAGATTGTCTCCCGGTTTCCTGAGCACCCTCGATCCGCCGGCCGCCATCGCCGGGGAGAAGGATCGAATGCCGCCGGAGGTGAGATAGACCCTGAGTATGCCGCCCTAAGCACTCCAATGAAGGATCTATGGCCGACCTATATCAAGTATTTCAATGGGCTTGACGCGCTTGAGAAGATCCCGGTACGCGAAGGTCTCAAGCGTAAGATTGTGTGGCAGGTCCTCACACGCTTGGGCCTGGTGACTTCCCAACAGTCTTCTATTGAACTGGATCCCAGGGAACAGGTGCTGGTTAGTGTGAGGCATTGGTGAGCACTGGTACCTTCGAGAACGGACTTGTGATCCTCGGCTCTTCAACTATAATTGCACCTCGCACATCTCTTTCATAAGCGTTTCCGCAGAACCTCGCTTCATGACGATTGAGGTGATTCCAGCAGTCTTAAAATCAGGCTACCCTCAGTCTCAGGACCCTGTTGGTCTCACGTGATTATAAATGTCATCCCACCACCGTAGGGTAGTTATCTTACTCTGGCTGCCCGTCTGAAATAGGCAAACTGCATTTACGGGCTTGGGCTCTGGGTCTTGGATACATTTAAAATACCACTACAGAGTCACTGCGGCCCCGAAGAATTCCGGCATCATTCACCCCATGGGTGGTTGGTGATACTCGGCAGCATGATGCAGGCTCAGCCCTAATGGCAACGAACCATGTGGGCTGCTAAGAGCTAAGCGACTACTTTGCCATATAACCGTTAGCGGCGTTACTGGTTACAAAATCAACCCATCCACGTTCTTCTCGAACAAATCCATGATGTAACTAGTAGGAATTAGGAATAGGTCTACCGCAATTTCATCCAAACCATCCAATCTCCCCCACGGCAAATGCCGGAACGCCATAATTCGGGGTGTCACGTGAGATTGAACAATTGCATGTGTACTACACAGAAGGAATGGAAGGGTCTCGTCATGTAAATGTCAGTCGACCTGCCCTGCAGCTATACCCCGTAGAAGCAAAAGGGTGCGCATGAGATACACTGGATGGAGTATAATTGCAGTCTCGTGGATGAGTTAAACCGGTTCATCAACTTCAAACCGCGCCGGCAGTTACCCAAGCCAGGAAATCTGATCCTATCATGCTACACCTGAAGACCAGGGAGGCATGTGAATATATCACCTAGGGAGCAGCATCAAAGACGGAATAGAGAAGTAGTTATGTACTACTTGAGGTCGATCAATGCTCTTTTAAAGCCTAGTGACTCAAAAAGCAAGTCGCACGAGGATAGATGATGCACCAGCACGTTGCGTTCCTGTGGGAGCTATCCCATGTAATACAATGACCATACACACTAATGAATAACCCACCGATACATACCTAGTATATTACCCCATCTGGCTGTTGGAGTCCTCGAGGGTTGAGAGGTATTAATGAATTAGGATACTATCACCTTCAACGATTTCTTCTGAATTTTCCTTGCAAGGGTTAGTAAAGTTAGATGGATGTGCTATTTTGTAAAGTATATTTATGTCTGGATACCCTTGAATGGAATGAGGCTTCGAAGTATCGATGTAATGCGTTACTTTCCACAATAGGTGGAATAAGAGCTTGTGTACGAAGTACGGAGTAGTATATAACGCTCCGCAGTACTTCAGAGAGAAGCAAAGTCCATTTCTCTAGTTTGGAGGCTGTCACTCAGGCTCATGTTGCCAATATCGGGCTTATAATGCAACAGAACTCACTGTCCTGCAGTTTTGGTAGAGCTACACGGCCTTTGTTGTTGTATACCTCCTCTTCCACTCGATCTATTTTCGGATACGAAGGTATGTTGGCGTTGTGAGATAGACGTAAGGGAGGATGTTACTTGGTGTTTGACTGTGCTTTGAATGATTGGATGGGCGTAGAAGTCGAAAGGGAAATGTACCTGGAGATCTTTAAGGTCCTCGGATTCCAAATAGTACCTGGCTGGAATCGTGGATGGTAGGTAGTAGAGGGATTGACGTATAGCCTCGGTGCCTGCCAACAATATCTCATCTATCTGTTGGACATCATTGATACCTGATCCTCAGAAGGACTTATGACTGTAAACAATGCCCTTATTGTATCTATTAAATTTGCAAAGGAGGGGTAGAGGGGCTGTATTAGCTGTTCAGAAACCAGAGTACCTTAGTTCTTTGATTAGTTAGCCGTTAAGGGTTGAGGTAATCATGTATCGACGTGAAAGGCCTCAGGCCATAAGGACTCTCGTGAGAGCCTCCTTGCCCTCCGGCGCAGTATAGTCAAAGCAATACAAATGGAAATAAAAACCTCAGGTAGAGAGAGCCAGCAGTTAGAATTACATAGAACTACGAGAGTACATATGGATGAATTGGTGAGTATACACGACCTG